GCACACCTCTGCACCGCGCCCATCTCTGCACCGCGCACACCTCTGCACCGCGCCCATCTCTGCACCGCGCACACCTCTGCACCGCGCCCATCTGCACCGCGCACACCTCTGCACCGCGTCCATCTCTGCACCGTGCACACCTCTGCACCGCGCACACCTCTGTGCCGCCCCCATCTCTGCACCGCGCCCATCTCTGCACCGCGCACACCTCTGCACCGCGCACACGTCTACGCCGTGCACATCTCTGCACCGCTCACATCTCTGAACTGAGCCCATCTCTGAACCGCGCCTTGTAGGGAGTTTCCACCAGTAATTCACACTCTGTCTCCTGCCGCTGGTGACTGAGCCCCAGAAGCAGGTGGACATGCCCACCTGGTCACAGCAGCCCCTATGGTGGAGGCTATGGCTGAGCAGGAGCCTGTGACCTGGGGGGCCCACGCTGTCCGGGCCAGGGGAGGCTGACATAGCTCGAGAGTGCCAACCAGATGGTGACACTTTCATGGGGGGCACCTGGAGATCCTGCTGCCCTTCTCATTGGTGTTAGTGTGGAGGAGAGCTGGCATTTAGATGGTGCTTGGTGGGCACTGTATGCCCAGAGGCAGACTAGGAGCACCCCTAGAGGTGAACTGGCAAGAAAAACACAGGCCCTTTCTAAGAGAGAAGGTAGGGCAGGGAGAGAAAGAGTCTTGGAAACAGAATCGGGGGCACCCAGGGTAGGGGCTGGGTTGCAGGTGGGGAGAGGCGGGGGGAAGGAGTCTAGCAGCTTTCAGGGACGGGGTCTGGGAGGAGAGCCCCTTCTAACTGTTCTTGCTCCACAAATCACTCTGGGATGCTGTGCTGACCAGAACGAGCTGCTAAATGGATGTGATTTCTTCCACAGGAGATGCGGGAGAGAAGGGAGACAAAGGCGCCCCAGGACGGCCTGGAAGAGTCGGCCCCACTGGAGAAAAAGGTACCTGCATCCCCAAGCCAGCCTGCAGAGCTCTGCGGATGGAAGCCCCGCTCCCGCTAGAGCCGGGTTGGGAGGAGGAGGCGGTGGTTCCAGAGAGGACAGGCCCTGCCTTCTGGGTCCCAGGGAGGCAGATGGCCGGGGGCAGGGAGGGGAATGCTCCTTCAACAGTACTCCTTGTGCTGACCTGTTTGTGGGGCCCCAGGAAAGAAAGTGTGCCCTAGGAGTCAGCACAGGCTCCTGGCCTCTCTAAGCATCGTCTGTATGACACGAATAACAGCTTCCAGATCATCTGTGGGCGCTGAGCGAATCAGTGTAGTTATGAAGGTGGCGTGGTAAAGGACGCACACAGGACCCTCATCGCTTTGCAGCTGTTTCCCTCTTAGTAAAGTCCCGTGATCCTGCCGGCCTTGTGGGACTGTGAGACGCTCATGGGAGCTGGATCCTACATGTGAAGGAAATGTGTCATATGTGCAGAGTAGCTGCACGATCATGCATGTGAAGGAAATGTGTCATATGTGTAGAGTGGCCGCACAGTACATGGCGGGGTGGAATACATGGTGACCATTATCTTCAGGATATACTCCTTGTTACTGCTTTACAGTTTTAAAAATGTGTTTTCTTTCTTTCTTTCTTTTTTTTTTTTTTTGAGACAGTTTCGCTCTGTTGCCCAGCCTGCAGTACAGTGGCCCAGTCTTGGCTCACTGTAACCTCCACCTCCCAGGTTCAAGCCATTTTCCTGCCTCAGCCTCATGAGTAGCTGGCATGTGCCATCATGCCTAGCTAATTTTTTTTTTCTTTTTATTTTTTAGTTGAGACAAGGTTTCACCATGTTAGCCAGGCTGGTTTCGAACTCCTGACCTCAAGCGATACATTTTTTTTCAAGTCATTAAAAATTGTCTCTAGAAATGCTTGCTCAATATGTACACATCATTCCATGAGAATATATGCTACACTTAGCCAATCCCCCAACCAGTCTTTTAACATTGGAGAGTTGTTTCCAATTAAAAATTATTATAACAACACAAATATAGTTAAATATGTATTTAAGGCCATGCACTGTCTTTTTGAAACATTTTTGAGGTATAATTTATGGACATTCCCATTTGGAGATTACAGTACAATCAGTTTTGACCATCACATCCACCTGTAGCTTTATCCTAAGCAAGAGCTGGAACATTCTTATTTCACGTAGCATGATGCCTTCCAGGTCTATCCAGGTCACAAATGGTAGGATTCTCTTATATTTTAAGACTGAATAATATTCCACTACAAATATGCCATGTTTTCCTTATCCACTCATTGGTCAATAGACATGTAGGTTGAAACTGTAGGTTTCTCTTCAAGACCCTTATTTCAGCCCTTTGGCTGTGCACCCAGTAGAGACACTACTGGAGCATGTGGTAGTTCTGCTTTTGATTTTCTCACGCAGCCTGTGGACTGTTTTCCATTCCCAAAGCGAGGTAGAAGGAATCCCCTTTCTCCACATCTTCTCCAATACGTGCTCTCTTTTGATGTTTTGTTACCAGCCATCCTAGCAGGTGTGAGACGATGTCTCACAGTGGCTTTGGTTTTTCTTTCCCTGACGGTGAGTGATGCTGGGCACCTTTTCATCTATCTGTTGGATACCTGTATGTCTTCTTTAGAGAAATGTCTATTCAGATCCTGTGACCATTTGTAAATTGGGTTATTTGGTTTTTGGCTATTGAGTTTTATGAGTTCCTCATCTATTTTGGATAATAACCTCTTCTCAGATATATGGTTTGCAAATCCTGTCTCCCATTCCAGAGGTGCCCTTCCGTGTTGTTGATCACTTTCTTTGCTGTGCAGTAACTTGTTAGTTGGGAAGGTTGGTCCCACTTATTTACTGCTGCTTTTGTTGCCTGTGCTTTCAGTGTCATATCCAAAAAAACTATGCCAAGACCAATGTCAAGGAACTTTTCCCTTATGTTTCCTTGTAGGAATTCTGTGATTTCAGGTTTTACATTTAAGCCTTCTATTTTGAGCTGATTGTTATGTGTGGTATAAGACAACGATTTAATTTCATTTTTCTCACATGTGAATATTCAGTTTTCCCAGTAGCATTGCTTCGTGCCTTTGTTGAAGATGAGTTGGCTGTGTGTGTGTGCATGGCTTATTTCTGTGCTTTCTGTTCTGCTCTGTTGTCTACGTGTTTGTTTTTCTGCCAGTGCCTGTTTGAGCAAGTATACTGGTTTGATTACCGTCTATCTAGATTACAATTTGAAATCAGGAAGTGTGGTGCCTTCAGCTTTGTTTTCTTGCTCAAGACTGCATTGGCTATATATGGCCTTTTATGGTTTCATATGAATTTTATGATTTCTTTTTCCATTTCTGTGAAAAGCGCCTTTGGAATTTTGATGGGGATTGCACTGAATCTGTAGATTGCTTTGGGTAGTATGGACATTTTGAAATATTAATTTTTTGAATCCATGAGCATGAGATATTTTTCCATTTATTTGTGTCTTCAATGTTTCATAGTTTTCAGTGTACAGGTGCACAATACTTCCTTGGTTAAATTTATTCCTAAATATGTCATTCTGTTTGGTGCTACAGTCAGGGAGATTGTTTCCCTAATTTTTTTCAGGTAGCTCATTGTTAGTGTATAGAAATGCTGCTGATTTTTGTGTGTTGGTTTTGTATCCTGCAACTTTACTGAATTTATTAGTTCTAAGCAATTTTTAGTGTAGTCTACGATTTTATTTATATGAGATCATGCCATCTGCAAATAGAGCCAGCTATTACTTCTCCATTTCCAATTTGGATGACATTTATTTCCCTCCCTCCCTCCCTCCCTCCCTCCCTCCCTCCCTCCTTCCTTCCTTCCTTCCTTCCTTCCTTCCTTCCTTCCTTCCTCTTCCTTTCTTGCTCTTTCTCCCTTACCTTTTCTTTCCTTTTCCCTTTCCTTTTCTCTTTCTTGCCTAATCATTCTGGCTAGGACTCCCAGCACTATATTGAATACAAGAGGTGAGAATGGGCATCCTTGTCTTGTTTCTGATTTTAGAGTAAAAGCTTTCAGCTTTTCACCAGTGAGTATAGCTATTTTTAATATCTTTTTCTTTTAACCTTTCTCCACTGCATTTCTGATTTTATTTGAGTTCTCTGTTTTTTCTTAGACTAGCTAAAGGTTTGTCCATTTTTTTTTTTTTTTT